GCTCATTTGACCAAAAAATCTTCACTACCCCTCCTCACAATAACCATGTCTTCCCAAACCCACCCCTGTCCAAATTCGGGTCTGAAATTTTTTCCCCCCCCCCCCGTCTCTTTGTTTTATTTTACAGGCCCCGTTTTTAACCCCCCCCCCCGTTTACCCAAGTAGTTTCCTTTCTCCTACCCCCCCCCCCCCCTTGCCCCAATCTTCACATGGTTCTGCGATTCACATATTTCTTGTTCAAACTAATATTTTACTGTAATACTTGCAAAGAAATAGAGGATCATTCGTTCAATCAACAGTAATATCAATCCTATAAATTCTTTTAGTGTTCTGCATTCAGACTGCAGACATAATGCTTTTGACTATGCTTATGTTGTAGTTCAAGTGTTATTTTATCCTTGGTTTAAATTTTATTTGCGTTTGTTTTGGGGTATGGTAATGTATGATAATGAGTTTAAAACAAAGGGAAATAAAATTTGAACCAAGGATAAAACTGAACCACAACACTTACATTGGCCCCATCCAGTGTGTGTACGTGTTACAATCAAGTCAAACTTAAATAGGTTAATAATTCCTTTGTCTCCTAGCCCTAATTCATGAGTAATAGTTATTATTCATGAATTAAGGAAAAAGAGAATCAACCTAGGTTAAAAAAAATTTTGACCTGAATTTAATTTTGACCTATAACATATGTACATGTACACTGTACATGTTATGCATTCCCATGCAATGCAAAAGCATGTGGTTCTCTTTAAAGTTACCAAGCTAAAGCTATATCATTTTTATTAAAGGTTGCTGGTTATTTCACCTCGTGGGATCGATACCTTAAAGGTAGTTATGCTGTAGATAACGTGTACATGTAGCAGAATAAAGGTTATCGGGAAGAATCAAGGTCAAAACAATACAATCCTTGAAATGATGTATTCAACTGATCCACATTCACCAACTTCAACTAAACACATGGAGTAAAATTCTAAACATGTTACATTCTGTAAATAATATAATGTCACACAATTCATAACATTCATACATGTACATGTGCAACGTCATGTATTTGCCCCTTAATTATAAAGAATTGGTTAATGTCAACAGATCTTTTGGAAGACACTAAAAGATGGCTCTTACAGATGTAGCACTTCAAAACAGGAATCACCTCTGATAAATTAAAGATTAAATTAACCGTAGAGGAGGTAGATAACAACTCTTAAAATGTTTTTTTACCTCAAAACAACCTCCATTTTGATGTAAATAACACTGAAATCCTGTACTCCTCATTTTCACAAAAACAACAAAACCCAGCTTGAGTTATCTTGCCCATTAGACATGTCAAAGTGTCTTTGAAGTTCAATGCAACTTCAAGATCAGACATCTTTGTCTTCTCATGACCACATTGTGACAATTAATTTACTATTAATAAATGTTGACACGAAAAAAACCAATTGATGTTAAGTTTAGTTTCGTTGCATAAGTTTCTATCCTTGGCGAATGACCAAAGAAGGATCACATTTCCTTGGGAAAACAAAGATCTGTGGCAAGAGACAATTTAAAGTAACACAAGAGTGTAAGATTATCCTTTGTAATCCAGGGTAGCCATGGAAATACCCACTATTTTAAAAGAGGGGTCAATGATCCATGTCGTGACCCTTTCTAACCCTCAAGGCCCCAGAAAAGACCAAATCAATTTTCTCCTAACAATTATCCATACATCCTCAAGAGAAAAGGTAACAAGAATTAATAAAATTGTTGCCAAAGGGAAATGCTTTGATCTATTATCAAATGCTCTCACTTAGTACTTTAAGGAAATTTATGCATGGAGATCAGGCTGGATTTTGTATGTGGATATGGGAGCTTTTTTATTTTTTGAATCACAGGGCTGTCACGCGATATAAACCCGGAAATGACATACTGTACTTAGAAGGCAACAAAGCCACCGGAAAAAAAAAAAACCTGGCATGTAGTGGTGTACAGTGCAGTCTTGCTGGTCTACTGAAGGGAAAATCTTTCAGCACTGATGTGCTTCTATCAAAAGAAACTTCAATCACATTAATTGCCACTCAAACTGAAAATCTGTTTTTTGGCCACCCATGTACATGCACACACAGAAAAAAAAGAATGTTTCCAATTATTATCACTAGAAACATTTCGTAAGGTCTCAGCAGTCTCATATATTTAACATTTCTCTGGAAAGTAAGTTTGCCCTTTGCTGTTTTGTTTTTGTCGGTCATTCTTGTGAAATACAGCAGCCATTTTCAATGTAAGCTTCACTTATGTAACATGAGGTGACCCTACATTTTTATAAATGACTCCAACCGTTGATTGACAGTAGGAGTAATCAAAATGGTTGACAAAGGAAAACTCAGAAGAACTTGAGCCCAGCAATCACGGCAATAATTCTTCAAAACACTCCTCAAAAGGACACAAGACACAACATTCTTGAGCTCAAGGACATGTACTTGTCCCCTTTCCTTCACTCAATGTTGATTTTAAGATTCATATTTTAGGCATAAACTTCTTTAAAAAAGAAACAAGAAAAATAATTTATTATGATCGAGACTGAAGGTCCTCATTATTGCCTCTGTAACTAAGTGGTTAGATCACCCAATCAGTATCTGGGAGGTTGCAGGTTCATGGCATATTAAGCATTATTTATTCCCTGAGCTCAAATTGTGTTTTTTTTTTGTGCATTGCCAGCCAGTTTCTTTCTACTTTCCACGACAATTTGCCCAATATATTTCTATTAAACATCATTTTGAAGTCATCATCTAATCTTCACTTAATCCATCACTGATCCTACCTAATCCATGCAATGGTTTGTCATTTGATGGTCTATTCTAACTTCTGCCAGTCGCTTTATTGCAGATTAAATCAATCAGTTAATTTAAAACCATATTAAAATCTAGCCATCATGTCTCATTTTCAAGTTTTGTAAGTTCTGTTTGTCAGTATTGTCAGTTTTAATTTTTTTTTATTTCATTTTTATCATTATTATTATTATTATTATTATTATTATTATTATTATTATTTTGCTTTGTTTTTGCATATTTGATCTCTCAAATATTTATACACGTACATATAACATACAAAATTTGTATCGCTATATTAACAAACAAAATAATGACATTGTGTAGATTGCTTCACTAAGTTGCAGGAGTGCTTGATACAAAATAATATATGCAGATGATGATCATTTACTGTGTGACACTTAAGTAACAGTCTTACAGTTTTCAACCTTTAAATCTGTATGTATCTGTATATTGATATAAATTTATTAAGCCCCCTCATTGTAAATCAGCAGCTTCATGTTTTAAATCATAGGCAGCTTAAGTAAACATAATAAATTTAAGCTTCTAGTTTAAATATAAATATAAGCTTAAAGCATTAAAATTCTTACAAATTATTTCAATTTGTAAGGACTAATAAAGCAGCATTCCATCACATATTTTGAGATAACCTGTATTGCTACATCTTAATTTAATACTTCGACTCATAACTTTGCAAATCAATGAACTGACACCGACTCCTATACACGATGTGTTAGAAAAAATATTTAATGCATGTGTTGCAATCTCCTCAGGAACTAAAAATATTTATGATTCTTCATGTCTGTCATTAAAAAAAGATTATCGATGATGAACTCTAGATCATAACCAACGTAACTCGAAACAAACATTAAAAGGAACTCGTTCTGATATTGCTTAAAATGTTTATAAAGGGTAGCTCAAAAACAAAAAAATTGCAACAGTCTTACTCTTACGGAACGAATTTAGCTTTAGAAGGAAAGTTACTGGCCAGATCAGCAAATGATCAGCTGTTAATCTTCTTCATAATATTTTTACTTCGCTATGTACTTACCACAACAGTGGAGGAAGGAGCTTCATCGAAAATTTTTTGCAGCTGTTCAAGTCTTAGTGACTTTCTTTCCATAACCTTCCCCTAAATGTCCTTGTTTCTCGAAATGTCTGTGGGCATTTTTTAGCCTCCCTCGATTTCCGCTGAAGCTAATACTGAAATATTGCAATGCCTTCCGCCATCTTACTCTTCGAGATATCACGTGACAAAATAAATGTAGAACTTGGAATTTTCTAACAACAACGCTGATTGGAGAAATTTTCATAAGCCAATTAAAATTGTCGTAATATCGTCCACGTACACTTCTTTCCATTGCCGGCGTGTTGGGATTTCACTTAGCTTATGCAACATCTTTAGGAGAGTTTCTTTTCAATATTTTACGCTTTCCTTTAGC